TCGTTCGTTCCTTCCTTCGTTCGTTCCTTCCTTCGTTCGTTCCTTCCTTCGTTCGTTCCTGCCTTCGTTCGTTCCTTCCTTCGTTCCTTCCTTCTTTCCTTCGTTCGTTCCTTCCTTCGTTCGTTCCTTCCTTCGTACGTTCCTTCTTTCCTTCATACGTTCCTTCCTTCCTTCGTACGTTCCTTCTTTCCTTCGTACGTTCCTTCCTTCGTACGTTCCTTCCTTCGTTCGTTCCTTCCTTCGTTCGTTCCTTCGTTCGTTCGTTCCTTCGTTCGTTCGTTCGTTTCTTCCTTTGCTCGTTTCTTCCTTTGCTCGTTTCTTCCTTTGCTCGTTTCTTCCTTCGCTCGTTTCTTCCTTTGCTCGTTTCTTCCTTCGCTCGTTTCTTCCTTCGCTCGTTTCTTCCTTCGCTCGTCCCTTCTTTCGTCCTTTTCCCTTTTTGTTTTCTTCCTTTTTGTCCTTTTCCCTTTATTTCTTTTTGTCCTTTTCCCTTTAGTTCTTTTTCTTTTTGTCCTTTTCCCTTTATTTTTCTTTTTGTCCTTTTCCCTTTTTTTCTTTTTGTCCTTTTCCCTTTTTTCCTTTTTCTTTTCGCCCTTTCCTCTTTATTTCTTTTTCTTTTCGTCCTTTTCTCTTTATTTCTTTTCTTCCTTTTCGTCCTTTTCCCTTTATTTCTTTTTCTTTTCGTTCTTTTCTCTTTATTTCTTTTTCTTTTCGTCCTTTTCTCTTTATTTCTTTTCTTTCTTTTCGTCCTTTTCTTTGTTTTTGTTGTTCTCATGTTTTCTGCTATAACTGTGAAAGGATTGTATTTTTTACGTTTTTTCTCATAGTCCTAAAAAATTACAAATTCTCCATTTACTTCCAACTTCTGAAAACTTATCTTGACTGCACTTCGATGTGGGTCCTCGTCCTTGACGGAGGCAGGTAGGGCTCTCAAGTAGAGGCGGCTCTATCGTAAGGTCACACGGTCACGAGCCCCCTTACAAGTACTCAATTGTATTTTAAAATTCTTTATATTGCTTTATGAACTATTGCAACTTGTTGATATGAGCGCGCTGTTTTTATTTTACTCTGATGAAATAAACGAGATTCACTAAAGGCATCTGTATGAGACCTGGCACAGGGCTTTGGTCACGGGAAGCCCGTGCCGACCGCCTCGCTATTTGTCTTCGTAGAACGGCGGGATTTGAGTGGGGTCAGTGCAAGCATATGGCATGCACAGGTCACATTCTGCGTGACCGCGCCGCCAGTTCTGCCGTAGACAAGCGCGTCACTGTCCATTCGGTACGGTCCCAAGAGAGGTGTTAGAATGCATTCTTCACGTGCTTCTGCGTTATAGTAATTCAGGTTTTTTGTAAAGTGTAATTGTGAATGTCAAGCCAAACAACATGAAGTAAGGTATTTACAAAACAGA